GGCGACCGGAGCAGCGCCGACGTCGGCGGCAGGAGGGCGGGAAGACGGGCGGGGCCTGGACGGCGCGTTCCTTCGGGCTCCGGCGCCCTCCGCTCTCCCCGCCGCCTCGCTGCTGCCAGGGGCGGGGTCGCCGCCCGGCCCGCCCAGTTCCTCGGCCACCCAGACGAAGGGCAAGAGCGAGCCCTGGTGGGCGGAGCGGAGGCGTGCAGCGACCTGGACCCGGCCTGCGGTCCCCCTCGCGTGCCTTGGCATTCTCCGCCCAGCCGGGGACCTTCCCGCCAAAACCTCTCACCTGTGACTACAGTGTGTCCTGAATTTGTCACGGGCAAAGAACTGGCTGAGCAATGCATTGCTCACAGGCTCCTTTCTTTGTATCCTTTTCTCATCGATTTCTATATAAATCCCTCCACATTTTGATGTCTCTGAAGAGTCATCCTGACAGCAGCACGGTCGCTTATAGACTCACAGAATGTCAGCGTTGAAGAGACCCTAGAGATCACTTAATCCAGGAATTTGGAGCCTCAAATGGCCTTCGGAGCCTCGAATCCACTAAAATGTATGCGAATTTTTGCTTGAGATTGTCTCTGGGCAGATGGGACTGTAGCTTTTATTAGATTCCCAAATGTGTTGGTGACCCCGAAAAGGTTAAGAAATACTTGTCTAATCCGATTTCTTTTCAGATGAGGAATCAAGCCCCAGTGAGGGAATTGCCTAGGTCACAACAGGGAGTGGTAGAGTTAGGATTGCAAATCACCACACCACTCTTCCTTGTGGTGATTCAGTGAAACGGGGTACAGCGTTATTTCGATATTTTGAAGTATATTATGTGCCTTCAGATCTTGGTTTCTAAATGCTAGTCTCCACTAAAAGGAACCAGACCGTTTGGTGAAATGGCTGATTCCAGGGCAGAGAGAGGGAAAGTATAAAATGTCCTTGAAAGATCTTGTGCCAGAAAGCAAGATTTTCAAAGAATGATGAGGACATGACAAAAGGAAACAGGAGCCTCCACTTACCAAATGTGGGACAATTTTAGCATCATGAAAGAATAATGATAGAAATGGATTATAACACAATGAATTTTAAAAAACAATCTATGAGTGCATACTTATTCTTAAAATGTCAAATAAATAAATATAAAGGGGGGAGAAATGACAATTCTTCTTGACAGTGGAATGCCAACTAATACACATAGAAGAAATGATGAAATTAGGAAATCACCATTTTGCAGCCATTATAGTAATAATTGATTCAGATAGAATTCTCAATAGATGTTAAAACAATTCAGTGAAAGTTTGCTGTGGAACGGGATATTTACACAGTCTCAAAGTATCCTCGGATTTCTTATTCCTTCCAAAGGGATAAAAACTGTACCTTTACAGTGGAGAAATCTGACAGACACCACCCTAACCAAAAAATCAAAGTGAATGTTACCAATTATGGGATAAAATGACATGATGTGCCTCCTGATGAGAGGTACTGAGAAGGAAATACAGTATCTCTTATGTAATATCCTTGTCAAAAATACATACTTTGAATCTAATCACAAAGAAACAATCAGAAAAGTGCAAATCGAGAAATTCTACCCTACCCCTGGCCTGTACTCTTAAAAAATGTCAGTGTCGTGAAAGACAAAGAAAGGCTGAAGAACTGTTTTAGATTTAAGGGATAAAGAGACATGTCACTAAAGGCAACGTGTGATCCTGGATTGGGAGAAAAGTGCTATAAAGGAATATTTTCAGGACAATTGTTGAAATTTCAATGTAGATTGTATATTGGGTAATATTATTATTTAAATGTTAAGCTTCTTGAATTTTATAATTGTGTTGTGGTTATGAAAAAGTACCGTTATTAGGAGATACACACTGAAGTATTTAGGGATTAAAGTTTTTTATACATGCGACTTACTCTCGAATGGTTTAGCAAAGATAGGAAAGGCAAATATGGCAAAATGTTAAATTGATAAATCTGGATAAAGGGTATATGGTAGTTCATTGTATTGTTCTTGCAACTTTTCTGTAGTTTTAATTTTTTAAATGGAAATTAATATATATGTGTGTATGTATATATTTTATTTTATTATTTTAATTTTTTATTATTTTGTTTTATATTCCTTGTGTAAGATCGGCTGGCTCTTGGGCCCTCCACCTGCTCACTGTGCTTCTGCCCTTCACTTTCCCAAGCAATACCTTATTCTAATTCTACTGTAAGTTATGTTGTTTGCAAAACTGAGGAAGGAAGTCAGGGGAGGCTGTAAGACTGATGGGATTTCTGGATTGATGGGAGTAGTATATGAGGGTTCATCTAACTAGACCAGGAGCCCACATATATACCCTAGTTCAAAAATAGTTCCCATATACATTTTGCAAGTTAGGTTAATGTGTTTTAATTGCTCTGAGGGTGCGTTCTTTCAGGAATTTGATGAAAAGCTACTTACTCAAGACCCAGAAAATGACAGAGGGACCCACTAGAGCTAACAACCTCCTCCTTTAAAGTACAACTTTTGAGCAAAAATTAGGAGTCATTTCTATCTGATTATTTTAATCAGATAACCAGGCCAGCTACCTCCTTGCACAAACTGGGAATAAGACTTGATTTGGGGCAGGAAAGAAGAGAAAGGGATGGCAGGGAGTACCAAAAAAGGTTTTTGGCACACCAGAGTTCAGTGTGAGGTGGCTGAGTGTCTAGAGGTTAGAGAAAGAGAGGCCAGAGATGGGGGAGAGCTGGAAGGGGCTGTTCCAAAAATAAACCTTGCCCACTTGGAAGTGCACCGGGTGTCCCGCTGAAAATTACTGGTAGGTTGTAAATGTAACCCTGAAGAAATACATGTGGACTAAGTTAGAATATTGCAACCTTGGAATCCGTGATTCAGCTCTGTTTCCTCAGTCCAAAAGATCTATTTCTCCCTCTCCAATTTCAACCCCGTGCGTCTCTTATGTGCTTTTGCTTCAATTAAATGACCTATATACATTTTAGCAATTATTAATTTTATCCAAGTCTTGCTTTCCTCTCCTCTTTCTCTCTCCCTAGACACACATACCACCACCACCACCACCACCACGCCCCTCAGGAAAAGAATAAAAGATAAGAGAAAGAGAGGAGAAGAGAGGCTTCATACAATTCCCATCTTTTTGATCTCCAGTTTTAGTATCAGTGAAAATGAGTGCTCTAGTCACCAGATTTCCTATTTATTTGACCTTTAAAATGCAACACTTCCAGCTAATACTGTGAGTCCACTGTATTTGCCATTGAGTTGATTAAAAAATGTTAAGATAACACGGCAAAAGGCAAAAGAGTGTACACATAGAAAGAATTGAGAAAGATGGTGAGAGACTGAGATAAGAATTAATTCTATGACATACTTAGAATAAAATTGACTTAGAATGAAAATGTGGAATGAGGAGAGGAGTTAGCAGAGGTAATAAAAGAGTGATTTGAAATGTAAGGAGAGAAAAACTTCATGGCTCACAATGCAATACATATTTTGCTGAAGCAGACAGCCCATGAACTTGAGAAACAATGTGTGTACCATATGCTTCCTTGATCATAAACAGTGTCTACATTTTTACTGCTTTATCATTTTAGGACTGAATGGAAGTCAAGACACCAGTAAGCACAGGACTAAATTTAGATTTAGTTCAAAGCAAAAACTGGTGAAATCTTTATTAAATGACTTTACAAAGCTAAAGTGAATACTTTGCTTTTTATATTACAGAAGGCAGAAAGTACATGAGAAAATCTAAATCACTGACCTGTACTAATTACAAGTGCTTCTTATTGTCATAAAATACAGCTATTCCTGAAATATGCATGAATTCTGTCAGATTAATTAACATGTGGGTGCTGCTATGTTTAAGGTACTATTATGGAAATAAACTAGACTGACGTTATTTAGAGAAAACTTTCTTTGGCTCCTTTAAAGGATGGGTAACCGTGCTCTGGTTTTAATATTTTAAGCTAGTTTTAGCTGTGGTGATCTTCTCTAGATGAAGAATGTGTGATTCTCTCTAAACTTTGAAAATAATTTCAAAATTTTTGTGTCTCCTCCCAGATGACAGATTTTCTTAGGGTCTTAAATTTCAAAGGGATCTTAGAGAGTATCATGTGAGTCCATCTTCCCATCTGATACAGAAATCTCTAGACACTTGACAGATGGCATCAAGCCTTGGTTTATTGCTTCATGCCTCATGCTTCATTATATGTCTCACATATAATCTATGTGAGACAGTTCATATCAGTGGAAAATACTTCCTCACAATAGCTTCATAGCTGCTTCTTTCTGACTTGCGTCCATAGTTTTAGCTCTTTTCCCTGGTGCAAGACATTACAAACAAACAGACACACACCTATTGTCATATTCTCTCTTCAGGCAAAACATTCCCAAATTCACTGTCCAATTGACTATGTCTCTAGCCCTCTACCCTTTCTTCTTACGCTTCTTGGGACTCTGGTTTGTCAGTGTTTCTCTTAAAATATTGTTCCCAAAACTGAGCGTAGTAGCCTAGGTGTAGTCAAAGCAGTGTAGAATACTGGCCATTGACCACTCCCTCCTTTGACACAGACACTTGACTCATATTAATTCAGCCAAGGATTGTGCTAGTTTTCTTTTTAGCAACCACAGCCCACAGTTGAGATTAAGGCCTACTAAAACCTCTGAGGCTTTCAAAATAATAATTATTGTTACCATTTTCTTGGGCAATTGATTTTTTAAAAATATAAATGGAAATTCTGATAGTTAAAATGTCATCTTATTGATGTTGCTCATTGTTCCAGATAATAGAATCATTTTGATTCTTCACTCTGCCCTCTATTGTATTACCTAATCTTAGTTCTCTGAGCCATCCGCAAATTCCACCAGCATGCCTTTTATATCTTTA